GGAAATATATTCATCTAATGAACGTAAGGGTTTGAAAGGTAACTAACGCACATGTGTAGAGAAAATGGTGCATCGGTCAGTCTGGCCGGCATTTCGCACTCATAGTGCAGGTGGGGCTAGGGAGAACGGAAACGCTCGTTTCTCAAAAAGTAGAGGGAATCTAACGGTCTCACTCGATCAGAAGGTGGGAAATATATATCTCTAGTCAGCCAAAAAGGCTTGAAATGTATTCAACGCACATGTATAGAGAAAATGGTGCATTGGCCAGGTCTGTCAGTATCGGAAATTAGAATGCAAATGCCAGGGAGAACGGAAGCGCTCAGATCTCGCACAGTACACGGAATCAAGTGGTCTCACTCAAATAGAAAGTAGGAAATATATTCATCTAGCGAATGTAAGGGTTTGAAAGGTAACTAACGCACATGTGTAGAGAAAATTGTGCATCGGCCAGTCTGGCCGGCATTTCGCACTTATAGTGCAACTAGGGCGAAGGAGAACGGAAACGCTCATTTCTCAAAAAGTAGAGGGAATCTAGCGGTCTTACTCGATCAGAAGGTGGGAAATATATAAATCTAGTGAGCTAATAAGGTTCGAAAGGAATCTAATGCAAATGTATATGGAAAATGGCGCATTGGCCAGGTCAGTCAGTATGGGAACTTAGGGTGCAAATGTCAGGGAGAACGGAAGCGCTCAGATCTCGCATAGTACACGGAATCTAGTGGTCTCACTCAAATAAAAGGTAGGAAATATATTCATCTAGTGAACGTAAGGGTTTGAAAGGTAACTAACGCACATGTGTAGAGAAAATGGTGCATCGGCCAGTCTGGCCGGCATTTCGCACTCATAGTGCAGGTGGGGCCAGGGAGAACGGAAACGCTCGTTTCTAAAAAAGTAGAGGGAATCTAACGGTCTCACTCGATCAGAAGGTGGGAAATATATAAATCTAGTCAGCTAAAACGGTTTGATAGTATTCAATGCACATGTATAGAGAAAATGGTGCATTGGCCAGGTCGGTCAGTATCGGAACTTAAAATGCAAATGCCAGGGAGAACGGAAGCGCTCAAATCTCGCATAGTACACGGAATCAAGTGGTCTCACTCAAATAGAAAGTAGGAAATATATTCATCTAGTGAACGTAAGGGTTTGAAAGGTAACTAACGCACATGTGTAGAGAAAATTGTGCATCGGCCAGTCTGGCCGGCATTTCGCACTTATAGTGCAAGTAGGGCCAAGGAGAACGGAAACGCTCATTTCTCAAAAAGTAAAGGGAATCTAGCGGTCTCACTCGATCAGAAGGTGGGAAATATATAGTTCTAGTGAGCTAATAAGGTTCGAAAGGAATCTAATGCATATGTATATGGAAAATGGTGCATTGGCCAGGTCGGTCAGTATGGGAACTTAGAGTGCAAATGCCAGGGAGAACGGAAGCGCTCAGATCTCGCATAGTACACGGAATCTAGTGGTCTCACTCAAATAGAAGGTAGGAAATAAATTCATCTAGTGAACATAAGGGTTTGAAAGGTAACTAACGCACATGTGTAGAGAAAATGGTGCATCGGCCAGTCTGGCCGGCATTTCGCACTTATAATGCAAGTAGGGCCAAGGAGAATGGAAACGCTCATTTCTCAAAAAGTAAACGGAATCTAGCGGTCTCACTCGATCAGAAGGTGTGAAATATATAAATCTAGTGAGCTAATAAGGTTCGAAAGGAATCTAATGCATATGTATATGGAAAATGGTGCATTGGCCAGGTCGGTCAGTATGGGAACTTAGAGTGCAAATGCCTGGGAGAACGGAACTGCTCAGATCTCGCATAATACACGGAATCTAGTGGTCTCACTCAAATAGAAGGTAGGAAATAAATTCATCTAGTGAACGTAAGGGTTTGAAAGGTAACTAACGCACATGTGTAGAGAAAATGGTGCATCGGCCAGTCTGGCCGGCATTTCGCACTCATAGTGCAGGTGGGGCCAGGGAGAACGGAAACGCTCGTTTCTCAAAAAGTAGAGGGAATGTAACGGTCTCACTCGATCAGAAGGTGGGAAATATATAAATATAGTCAGCTAAAAAGGTTTGAAATGTATTCAACGCACAAATATAGAGAAAATGGTGCATTGGCCAGGTCGGTCAGTATCGGAACTTAAAATGAAAATGCCAGGGAGAACGGAAGCGCTCAGATCTCGCATAGTACACGGAATCAAGTGGTCTCACTCAAATAGAAAGTAGGAAATATATTCATCTAGTGAACGTAAGGGTTTAAAAGGTAACTAACGCACATGTGTAGAGAAAATTGTGCATCGGCCAGTCTGGCCGGCATTTCGCACTTATAGTGCAAGTAGGGCCAAGGAGAACGGAAACGCTCATTTCTCGAAAAGTAGAGGGAATCTAGCGGTCTCACTCGATCAGAAGGTGGGAAATATATAAATCTAGTGAGCTAATAAGGTTCAAAAGGAATCTAATGCATATGTATATGGAAAATGGTGCATTGGCCAGGTCGGTCAGTATGGGAACTTAGAGTGCAAATGCCAGGGAGAACGGAAGCGCTCAGATCTTGCATAGTACACGGAATCTAGTGGTCTCACTCAAATAGAAGGTAGGAAATAAATTCATCTAGTGAACGTAAGGGTTTGAAAGGTAACTAACGCACATGTGTAGAGAAAATGGTGCATCGGCCAGTCTGGCCGGCATTTCGCACTTATAGTGCAAGTAGGGCCAAGGAGAACGGAAACGCTCATTTCTCAAAAAGTAAAGGGAATCTAGCGGTCTCACTCGATCAGAAGGTGGGAAATATATAAATCTAGTGAGCTAATAAGGTTCAAAAGGAATCTAATGCATATGTATATGGAAAATGGTGCATTGGCCAGGTCGGTCAGTATGGGAACTTAGAGTACAAATGCCAGGGAGAACGGAAGCGCTCAGATCTCGCATAGTACACGGAATCTAGTGGTCTCACTCAAATAGAAGGTAGGAAATAAACTCATCTAGTGAACGTAAGGGTTTGAAAGGTAACTAACGCACATGTGTAGAGAAAATTGTGCATCGGCCAGTCTGGCCGGCATTTCGCACTTATAGTGCAAGTAGGGCCAAGGAGAATGGAAACGCTCATTCTCAAAAAGTAGAGGGAATCTAGCGGTCTCACTCGATCAGAAGGTGGGAAATATATAAATCTAGTGAGCTAATAAGGTTCGAAATGAATCTAATGCATATGTATATGGAAAATGGTGCATTGGCCAGGTCGGTCACTATGGGAACTTAGAGTGCAAATGCCAGGGAGAACGGAAGCGCTCAGATCTCGCATAGTACACGGAATCTACTGGTCTCACTCAAATACAAGGTAGGAAATAAATTCATCTAGTGAATGTAAGGGTTTGAAAGGTAACTAACGCACATGTGTAGAGAAAATGGTGCATCGGCCAGTCTGGCCGGCATTTCGCACTTATAGTGCAAGTAGGGCCAAGGAGAACGGAAACACTCATTTCTCAAAAAGTAAAGGGAATCTAGCGGTCTCACTCGACCAGAAGGTGGGAAATATATGAATCTAGTGAGCTAATAAGGTTCGAAAGGAATCTAATGCATATGTATATGGAAAATGGTGCATTGGCCAGGTCGGTCAGTATGGGAACTTAGAGTACAAATGCCTGGGAGAACGGAAGCGCTCAGATCTCGCATAGTACATGGAATCTAGTGGTCTCACTCAAATAGAAGGTAGGAAATAAATTCATCTAGTGAACGTAAGGGTTTGAAAGGTAACTAACGCACATGTGTAGAGAAAATGGTGCATCGGCCAGTCTGGCCGGCATTTCGCACTTATAGTGCAAGTGTCAAACATTATATATGTTATGGTTGTGTAGACTACAGTGGGTTAGCCTATAGGGGGTACACAATTCTAGGGTTTCCTATTTGTACTCATTTCACTGCTAGTTCATTCATTCCTGTTCGCTTATTCTCACATGGTATAGAGCGGGTCCTTCCTAAGGACCGTTTTTTTAGGGCCCACCGAAGCGCGCCCCGAGGCGCGCATTTTTTTTCGCGACCCTTCGGGTCGCCATTGCTCTCGCGGCCCCGCGGTCCCTCAGACGCGGCCCCGCCACCCCTCCTGAGCGCGGCCCCGCCGCCTCCTCTGACGCGGCCCCTCCGCCTTCTACAACGCGGCCCCGCCGCCCGCTGATCGCGGCCCGCCGTCGGCTCTGACGCGGCCCCGCCGCCGCCTCCTGATCGCGGCCCCGCCCCGGCTCTGACGCGGCCCGCCGCCGACTCTGACGCGGCCCCGCCCCGGCTCTCTCGCAGCCTCGCCGCTGGCCCTGACGTGGCCCCGCCCCGGCTCTCACACGGCCCCGCACCGGCTCTCTTACGGCCCCGCCGCCGGCTCTCTTACGGCCCCGCCGCCGGCTCTCTTACGGCCCCGCCGCCGGCCCTGACGCGGCCCCTGCCCCGGCTCTCAAGCGGCCCCACCGCCGGCTCTCTTGCGGCCCCGCCGCCGGCTCTCTTACGGCCGCGCCGCCGGCTCTCTTACGGCCCCGCCGCCGGCTCTCTTACGGCCCCGCCGCCGGCTCTCTAGCGGCCTTGCCGCCAGCTCTGAAGCGGCCCCGCCCCGGCTCTCACGCGGCCCCGCCGCCGGCCCTCACGCAGCCTTGCCGCCGGCTCTGACGCGGCCCCGCCCCGGTTCTCCCACGCGGCCCCGCCGCCCCACCTGCAGCAGTCGGGCAGCAGTGCAGCCGAGCCGCCGTGCGCCCAAGCCGCCCTGTCGCCAAGCCGCCCGGGAGCCGAGCCGCCCTGCACCCGAGCCGCCCTGCTGCCGAGCCGCCCGGGAGCCGAGCCGCCCTGCACCCGCGCCGCCCTGCCGCCGAGCCGCCCGGGAGCCAAGCCGCTGTGCACCCGAGCCGCCCGGTCGCCGAGCCGCCTTTCTGCGGAGCTGCACGTCCTGCCCTGCCTGGTGAGCACAGTCCCACTGTCACTGCGTGCTCTTCCCCTACTGCTTGCACTGCTTTGCTGTCGTCGCCATGGCTACCCCTAGTGTCCTAGCTTTTGACGCTGAGGGTCGCGCCATTGATTTTGAGGTCTGGTTAGACGACCTGCAGCTGTTCTTACAGTGCGACAGAGCAGACGGCCTTTCTCTCTTTGACCTCACCTCTGGCGCCTCTCCTGCTCCTGCTGCTGATGCTGATCCCACTGTCCGCTCTCAGTGGGCCACCCGCGATGCTGCTGCACGTCTTGCTGTGCGTCGCCACCTCCCTACCTCTGAGCGTGCGCACTTTAGTCAGTACAAGAGTGCTCAGACCTTGTACGACGCTGTAGTTGCGCGCTACTCCTCCCCTGCCACTGCTGCACTGAGCCGTCTCATGCTTCCCTACCTCTTTCCTGACCTCTCTGCCTTTCCCACTGTCGCTGACCTCATTACGCACCTCCGCACTAGTGACACTCGCTACCGCGCCGCCCTTCCTGCTGAGTTCTGCGCTAAGAACCCCCCCCCCCATGTACATCACTCTCTACAACGTAGTCGCGCGCCTCCCTGACTCCCTTCGCGTAGTCAGGGACCACTTTCTCGCAGTCTGTCCCACCACCCTCACCGTCGACCTCCTCGAGAAGGCCCTCCTCGCAGCAGAGAAGAGCATAGTCGCTGTAGGTGCTTCTCGTGGTGACCCTCGCACCCCCATCTTTGAGGGGTGCTCTCCTTCCCCCTTGCTGCCCTCTGTTGCCTCTGCTGCTGCTGCCGACCTGCTTGGTCTTGAGTCGGTCGGCGCGGCGTCTGCCCCTAGTGGGAGACGTCGCTCTAGCAAGGGCAAGGGGGGCAAGGGCGAGGGGGGAGCTGGAGGGGGCGGTGGCGGTGGCGGCGGAGGCGGCGGAGGGAGTGGGGGTGGCGGCGGGAGTAGTGGCGGGGGTGGTGGTGGTGGTGGCAGCAGCGGCGGAGACGGTGGTGGTGGTGGCAGCGGTGGTGGAGGTGGCAGCGGCGGAGGTGGAGGCGGCGGAGGTGGAGGCGGTGGAGGCGGCAGCGGAGGAGGCGGTGGTGGTGGAGGGGGCGGAGCTGGTCGGGGTGGTACCCACCAGCGTAGCGGCGGTGGTGGTGGCCAGCGCTCGCAGCGGCAGCAGCAGCAGCGCTCGCGGGACATCCCTCCGCCTCAGCAGCTTCGTGAGTGGTACACTGGGCATCAGAGGGGTGGGGGTACTGGTCCCTGCACCTACGTTCTTCGTTCCGGCGACCGCGCGGGTGAGCAGTGTGGGGGTGCCCACTCCACTCAGCGCTGCTTTGGCCGCCTGACGGACGCTTGGCGTCAGCAGTTCCCCGGGGCTAGTGAGATCCCTGGCTGGGATGAGCTTCTTAGGGCTGGTGTAGCGATCTTTGATCTTGATTTTGATGCTATCCTTGCCGCTATGTATGCTGTGACTATTAGTGAGGAGAATGAGGGTTACCGGTGTTTCCAGCCCGACCCGGGCATTGGTACTGCTGCGCTAGGTGCTTGTGAGGCTGCTGCTCTAGGTGCCAGTGCGTCTGCGCTCTCAGGTACTGGTGAGACTGCGCTCTCAGGTACTGCGTCGCCCTCCTCCTCCCTCACTTTCACACTTGACTCCGGGGCTTCTCGCTCCTTCTTTCGAGACCGCACCACTCTCACGCCGCTTGGTCGGCCGGTTGCCGTCTCCCTGGCTGACCCCTCTGGGGGTCCTGTCCTCTCTCACTTCTCCACTGTCCTCCCGTGTCCGGCTGCCCCTTCGGGCACCCTGTCTGGACTGTACCTTCCCTCGTTCTCTACGAACTTGGTGAGTGGTGTGGACCTGCAGGATGCGGGGGTTCACCAGTTCACTCCTGCGAGTCAACGGGTGACCCACTGCACGGACGCACGCACAGGCCGGCACCTGGCCACGTTCTCACGTCGGCCGGGGTCGAGCCTCTACACCCTGACCACTGCGTCTCCTCCTGTCCCTGCGTCTGGTCAGGTAGCTGCGTCAGGTCAGGTGCTTGCTGCTGCGTCCCGGTCAAGTCCTGAGTCTGCCCCCTGTTCTTGTCGCCTCCTGTCTCACGAGACTCTCCTGTGGCACCACCATCTTGGCCACCCGTCCTTGCCCCGTCTTCGGAGCATGGCTTCCCGTGTCCTTGTCTCTGGTCTGCCCCGGTCTCTCCCTCCCCTTCCCTCCGGGCCAGGACCTTCCTGTGTCCCCTGTGTCGAGGGTCGCCTCCGGGCTACTCCTCTCTCCTCCCAGTTCCCCCCGACAGAGGCTCCTCTGCAGACGCTTCACATGGATGTGTGGGGCCCAGCCCCCGTCCGTGGGCAGGGTCACGAGCGCTACTTCCTGTTGGTGGTTGACGACTACTCGCGGTACACCACAGTCCTCCCCTTGCGCAGCAAGGGTGCTGTCACTGAGGTGCTGATCGACTGGATCAGCGCTGCTCGTCTCCAGCTCAGGCAGAGCTTTGGCTCGGACTTTCCTGTTCTGCGTCTGCACTCGGACAGAGGCGGAGAGTTCTCCTCTCGCCTTCTGCGAGACTACTGTCGTGCACGGGGGATCCGCCAGACCTTCACGCTTCCGGACTCTCCACAGCAAAATGGGATTGCTGAGCGCCGCATTGGCATGGTCATGGATGTCGCTCGTACGTCCATGATGCATGCGGCTGCCCCCCATTTTATGTGGCCGTTTGCGGTGCGGTATGCGGCGCATCAGCTCAACCTTCACCCCAGGGTCTCTCGGCCCGCGATGTCCCCAGTCTTACTGTGGACGGGGAAGGTTGGCGATGCGTCGGTGTTCCGTGTCTGGGGATCTCGGGCGTTTGTCCGCGACTTGTCAGCGGACAAGCTGTCCCCTCGTGCTGCTCCCTGTGTCTTCCTTGGCTTCCCCACTGACGCTCCAGGGTGGCAGTTTTACCACCCCTCCTCTCGTCGTGTTCTGTCCTCCCAGGACGTCACGTTCGACTAGTCAGTCCCCTTATACCGCCTCTTCCCCTACCGCACTCCTTCCCTCCCCCCTCCATCGGACTTCCTTGTCCCGGTTCCTCCCCCGGTAGACCCCCTCCCCCCTCAGGTTCCTGCCCCCTCACGTGTGTCCCAGGTAGACGCAGTTGACCCGGTCGAGGTTACTGGTGACTCTGGTGCTGCTGCGGGTGCTGAGCCTGGGGGTGCTGACTCTGGGGGTGCTGTGCGCGAGGGTGCTGGGCATGGAGGTGCTGAGCCTGGGGGTGCTGGGCCTGTGGGCGCTACTGTGGAGGGTGCGAAGCCTGGGGGTGCTGAGCTGGGGGGTGCTGTGCCTGGCGGTGCTGGGTCTGGGGGTGCTGAGCTGGGGGCTGCTGAGCCTGGGGGTGCTGCGTCTGGAGCTGCTGAGCCTGGGGTTTCTCCTGCTGCTGCGTCTCGCCGGGAGCCCCTCTCTCCACAGGAGCTGCGCGAGTGGTTCGCTCGCCGCTGGAGGCGTGCTGCTGAGTCTAGGGGTGCTGCTGGAGCTGGAGCTGGAGCTTCTTCGACCGTCGAGGGTGCGGGTGCTGCCGGTCCCGGAGCTGCTGGACCTGCGGGTCCTCCTGGAGCTGGAGCTGCTGAGGGTGTTGGTGCTGAGACTACTGCTGTTGGTCCTGCCGCTGGAGGTGTGGGTGGCGCTGGTGCTGTCGCTGAGGGTGCTGGTGCTGTCCCTGCTGAGTCTGGAGCTGCTGCGCAGCCTCGGCCGTACTTCGTTCCGCTCCTGCAGTAGGTTCTTGGTCTTTCTCCTTCAGTAGAGGGTCCACAGCCGGTTCGGTCGCAGTCACTGTTGGAGCCGTCCTCTCCACTGCCTGCTCCCTCTCCTTACACTGGTCCTACTGGAGGTCTTGCTAAGCGCCGTGAGCCTGCGTCCCGTCCCGCGTCGCCTGTTCGTGCTGCTCGTGCTAGTGGTCGCAGTTCGCGTCAGCGTCCTCCTCCTGTCCCTGGCACGCACCGGATGTCTCTGCGTCCGTCCACTGCTCCTCTGCGTGCCCCTTTGCCTTCTCCTCCTGAGTCCTCTGTTCCTGCGCTTGCCGACCCTGAGTCGGACTCTCTTCGTGCTGCCAGTCCTACTATCACGCGTCTGCTTGCTACTGTCGTCACTGACCCCTCTTTTGAGTCCACTGCTGCGTCTGCTCTTGTCGCTGAGCTCGTTGACTTTGCTGCTTGCTGTCGTCTAGACTACGCTGCTAGTCTTGTTGCTGAGTCTGCGTCTGTCTGTCCTCCGTCCGTCGGGGGTGAGTGTGCTCTTGGCACGGACGTCCTAGAGGACAGGCAGGAGGAGTTACAGTGTCTAGCGGCCGCTTCACCTCATCTCGCGTCTGTACTGCTTGCTCCTGAGGGAGACCCGGATGCACTAGACATCCCGACTCCGCGCTCTTAAGCGGAGGCCGTAGAGGGTCCCTACTCCTCTCAGTGGCAGGCAGCTATGGATGCAGAGATGGCTTCCTGGAAGTCCACAGGGACCTACGTTGACGCAGTTCCCCCTTCTGGGGCGAACATTGTCACTGGCATGTGGATCTTCAGGGTGAAGCGGCCGCCGGGCTCTCCACCTGTCTTCAAGGCACGGTACGTTGCTCGTGGCTTCAGTCAGCGGCAGGGAGTTGACTACTTTCAGACCTTCTCTCCCACCCCGAAGATGACCACTCTTCGGGTGCTGCTGCACATAGCTGCTCAGCGCGACTACGAGCTTCACTCTCTCGACTTCAGCACTGCGTTCCTGCAGGTAGCCTGCACGAGGAGATCTGGCTGCGCCGTCCGCCTGGCTTCACTGGGACTTTCCCTCCTGGCACCCAGTGGAGCCTCCGACGGCCAGTCTACGGTCTCCGCCAGGCACCGCGTGAGTGGCACGACACACTGAGGACTACACTTGCGGCTCTTGGGTTTGCTCCGTCTACTGCTGACCCGTCGCTGTTTCTGCGCACCGACACTTCACTGCCGCCGTTCTACATCCTCGTGTACGTCGACGACTTGGTCTTTGCCACAGCGGACACTGCTGGACTCGCCTACGTGAAGTCCGAGCTGCTGAAGAGACACACGTGCACAGACCTGGGTGAACTGCGCAGCTACCTTGGCTTGCAGATCACTCGGGATAGAGCACGCCGCACCATTACCTTGACTCAGTCACACATGGTGCAGCAGGTCCTTCAGCGCTTCGGCTTCACGTACTCCTCGCCTCAGGCCACTCCTCTGTCTACTCGTCACTCGCTCTCAGCTCTGCCTTCGGATGAGTCCGTAGAGTCGAGTGGCCCGTACCCAGAGCTTGTTGGCTGCCTCATGTACCTGATGACCTGCACACGACCTGACCTTGCATACCCTCTGAGCATTCTTGCACGCTATGTTGCTCCTGGGAGACACCGACCAGAGCACATGGCTGCAGCTAAGAGGGTATTGCGCTACCTGTGCAGTACGTCGGGCATGGGGCTAGTGCTTGGAGGGCGGAGTCCAGTGGTCCTTGCAGGCCACGCGGACGCTTCTTGGGCTGACGACCAGGCTACGCAGCGGTCGTCACAGGGTTACACCTTCAGTCTTGGTTCCGGCTCTGTCTCCTGGCGGTCTACTCGTTCGTCTTCGGTTCTCGGCTCTAGTTGTGAGGCTGAGATCTACGCCGGGGCCATGGCTGCACAGGAGCTTCGCTGGCTCACCTACCTGCTGACTGACCTTGGAGAGCCGCCTCGTTCTCCTCCAGTGCTGTACGTAGACAACAAGGCTATGCTGGCCTTGTGTCGAGAGCAGCGCTTGGAGCACAGAACGAAGCACATTGCTCTCTGCTACTTCCTTGCTCGTGAGCTGCAGCAGCGTGGTCAGTTGCGACTTGCGTACGTGGCCTCTGAGGCCAACACTGCTGATGTGTTCACTAAGGCACTTGCGCCTTGTGACCATCAGCGCTTTTGTACCCAGCTGGGTCTTGTGTCTGTCTTGCCTCACTTGCTCTCCTCTTGACATTACTTGTACTGTGACATATATATATACCTGCTCTTGCTTGTCTAGTTTTATATATATGTCTGTACTCCTGCATGTGAACTGGCCTCTGGCCCTGCTCTTGTGCTCGGACTGTGTGGTGACTTTGTGATCCACCCTGAGCTTGCTTTGCTTTGCTTGACTGGTCTTGTGACCCCTTGTTCTCCCCCACTTTGCCTATGGGGGTGTGTCAAACATTATATATGTTATGCTTGTGTAGACTACAGTGGGTTAGCCTATAGGGGGTACACAATTCTAGGGTTTCCTATTTGTACTCATTTCACTGCTAGTTCATTCATTCCTTTTCGCTTATTCTCACAGCAAGTAGGGCCAAGGAGAACGGAAACGCTCATTTCTCAAAAAGTAAAGGGAATCTAGCGGTCTCACTCGATCAGAAGGTGGGAAATATATAAATCTAGTGAGCTAATGAGGTTCAGAAGGAATCTAATGCATATATATATGGAAAGTGGTGCATTGGCCAGGTCGGTCAGTATGGGAACTTAGAGTGCAAATGCCTGGGAGAACGGAACCGCTCAGATCTCGCATAATACACGGAATCTAGTGGTCTCACTCAAATATAAGGTAGGAAATATATTCATCTAGTGAACGTAAGGGTTTGAAAGGTAACTAACGCACATGTGTAGAGAAAATTGTGCATCGGCCAGTCTGGCCGGCATTTCGCACTTATAGTGCAAATAGGGCCAAGGAGAACGGAAACGCTCAATTCTCAAAAAGTAGAGGGAATCTAGCGGTCTCACTCGATTAGAAGGTGGGAATTATATAAATCTAGTGAGCTAATAAAATTCGAAAGGAATCTAGTGCAAATGTATATGGAAAATGGTGCATTGGCCAGGTCGGTCAGTATGGGAACTTAGAGTGCAAATGCCAGGGAGAACGGAAGCGCTCAGATCTCGCATAGTACACGGAATCTAGTGGTCTCACTCAAATAGAAGGTAGGAAATAAATTCATCTAGTGAACGTAAGGGTTTGAAAGGTAACTAACGCACATGTGTAGAGAAAATTGTGCATCGGCCAGTCTGGTCGGCATTTCGCACTTATAGTGCAAGTAGGGCCAAGGAGAACGGAAACGCTCATTTCTCAAAAAGTAGAGGGAATCTAGCGGTCTCACTCGATCAGAAGGTGGGAAATATGTAAATCTAGTGAGCTAATAAGGTTCGAAAGGAATCTAATGCATATGTATATGGAAAATGGTGCATTGGCCAGGTCGGTCAGTATGGGAACTTAGAGTGCAAATGCCAGGGAGAACGGAAGCGCTCAGATCTCGCATAGTACACGGAATCTAGTGGTCTCACTCAAATAGAAGGTAGGAAATAAACTCATCTAGTGAACGTAAGGGTTTGAAAGGTAACTAATGCACATGTGTAGAGAAAATGGTGCATCGGCCAGTCTGGCCGGCATTTCGCACTTATAGTGCAAGTATGGCCAAGGAGAACGGAAACACTCATTTCTCAAAAAGTAAAGGGAATCTAGCGATCTCACTCGATCAGAAGGTGGGAAATATATAAATCTAGTGAGCTAATAAGGTTCGAAAGGAATCTAATGCATATGTATATGGAAAATGGTGCATTGGCCAGGTCGGTCAGTATGGGAACTTAGAGTGCAAATGCCAGGGAGAACGGAAGCGCTCAGATCTCGCATAGTACACGGAATCTAGTGGTCTCACTCAAATAGAAAGTAGGAAATATATTCATCTCGTGAACGTAAGGGTTTGAAAGGTAACTAACGCACATGTGTAGAGAAAATGGTGCATCGGCCAGTCTGGCCGGCATTTCGCACTTATAGTGCAAGTAGGGCCAAGGAGAACGGAAACGCTCATTTCTCAAAAAGTAAAGAGAATCTAGCAGTCTCACTCGATCAGAAGGTGGGAAATATATAAATCTAGTGAGCTAATAAGGTTCGAAAGGAATCTAATGCATATGTATATGGAAAATGGTGCATTGGCCAGGTCGGTCAGTATGGGAACTTAGAGTGCAAATGCCAGGGAGAACGGAAGCGCTCAGATCTCGCATAGTACACGGAATCTAGTGGTCTCACTCAAATAGAAGGTAGGAAATAAACTCATCTAGTGAACGTAAGGGTTTGAAAGGTAACTAACGCACATGTGTAGAGAAAATGGTGCATCGGCCAGTCTGGCCGGCATTTCGCACTTATAGTGCAAGTAGGGCCAAGGAGAACGGAAACGCTCATTTCTCAAAAAGTAAAGGGAATCTAGCGATTTCACTCGATCATAAGGTGGGAAATATATAAATCTAGTAAGCTAATAAGGTTCGAAAGGAATCTAATGCATATGTATATGGAAAATGGTGTATTGGCCAGGTCGGTCAGTATGGGAACTTAGAGTGCAAATGCCAGGGAGAACGGAACCGCTCAGATCTCGCATAGTACACGGAATCTAGTGGTCTCACTCAAAAAGAAGGTAGAAAATAAATTCATCTAGTGAACGGTAAGGGTTTGAAAGGTAACTAACGCACATGTGTAGAGAAAATGGTGCATCGGCCAGTCTGGCCGGCATTTCGCACTTATAGTGCAAGTAGGGCCAAGGAGAACGAAAACGCTCATTTCTCAAAAAGTAAAGGGAATCTAGCGGTCTCACTCGATCAAAAGGTGGGAAATATATAATTCTAGTAAGCTAATAAGGTTCGAAAGGAATCTAATGCATATGTATATGGAAAATGGTGCATTGGCCAGGTCGGTCAGAATGGGAACTTAGAGTGCAAATGCCAGGGAGAACGGAAGCGCTCAGATCTCGCGTAATACACGGAATCTAGTGGTCTCATTCAAATAGAAGGTAGGAAATAAATTCATCTAGTGAACGTAAGGGTTTGAAAGGTAACTAACGCATATGTGTAGAGAAAATGGTGCATCGGCCAGTCTGGCCGGCATTTCGCACTTATAGTGCAAGTAGGGCCAAGGAGAACGGAAACGCTCATTTCTCAAAAAGTAAAGGGAATCTAGCGGTCTCACTCGATCAGAAGGTGGGAAATATATAAATCTAGTCAGCTAATCAGGTTCGAAAGGAATCTAATGCATATGTATATGGAAAGTGGTGCATTGGCCAGGTCGGTCAGTATCGGAACTTAAAATGCAAATGCCAGGGAGAACGGAAGCGCTCAGATCTCGCATAGTACACGGAATCAAGTGGTCTCACTCAAATAGAAAGTAGGAAATATATTTATCTAGTGAACGTAAGGGTTTGAAAGGTAACTAACGCACATGTGTAGAGAAAATGGTGCATCGGCCAGTCTGGCCGGCAGTTCGCACTCATAGTGCAGGTGGGGCCAGGGAGAACGGAAACGCTCGTTTCTCAAAAAGTAGAGGGAATCTAACGGTCTCACTCGATCAGAAGGTGGGAAATATATAAATCTAGTCAGCTAAAAAGGTTTGAAATATATTCAACGCACATGTATAGAGAAAATGGTGCATTGGCCAGGTTGGTCAGTATCGGAACTTAAAATGCAAATGCCAGGGAGAACGGAAGCGCTCAGATCTCGCATAGTACACAGAATCAAGTGGTCTCACTCAAATAGAAAGTAGGAAATATATTCATCTAGTGAACGTAAGTGTTTGAAAGGTAACTAACGCACATGTGTAGAGAAAATTGTGCATCGGCCAGTCTGGCCGGCATTTCGCACTTAGAGTGCAACTAGGGCCAAGGAGAACGGAAACGCTCATTTCTCAAAAAGTAAAGAGAATCTAGCGGTCTCACTCGATCAGAAGGTGGGAAATATATAAATCTAGTGAGCTAATAAGGTTCGAAAGGAATCTAATGCATATGTATATGGAAAATGGTGCATTGGCCAGGTCCGTCAGTATGGGAACTTAGAGTGCAAATGCCAAGGAGAACGGAAGCGCTCAGATCTCGCATAGTACACGGAATCTAGTGGTCTCACTCAAATAGAAGGTAGGAAATAAATTCATCTAGTGAACGTAAGGGTTTGAAAGGTAACTAACGCACATGTGTAGAGAAAATTGTGCATCGGCCAGTCTGGCCGGCATTTCGCACTTGCGGAGATAACTACAGCAACGGGAGCTAGGCTATGGGCTAGGCACGTGTGCTCGTGTGTTCTCTGCGTTCGTTCACTTAGTCGTTTCCTTGTGTTCACGCTCCTTGCTAGTTCACGGGGAGAATTTGCAAGAGTTTCACTAGGAAAACATGACAACAATGATACAATGAAGTTGGCATAGCAATACTACATCAGAGCAAGCATTCAGGTCGGCCAACTGCCAGCGCAGCTTGGTCGACCGCGCTCCAGCAAGGCAAGGTCGACGGCGTGCCAACGTCGCAGGTTGACGGCGTGACAGCGTTGCTCACGCAGGACAGCAATGCATCCGCATCGCAGGTGCGCGCAGATGATTGGCGTGCAGTATCTCGTCACCTGCACAGCGCACAACACCACGTCAACCTCGAGCTGACGACTGCCTCTGATCGGCCATGTCGACCTCGGGATACCACCACCGAGGTCGGGCTTGCCAACTTCGCCTGGGCGACCGTCCCACTCCTCCGCAGCACTTCGTCACTCAGGTAACCTGGTCGACCAGGCAACCACGTCGACCAGCAGCTCCCGTTCGTGCCCGTCGACCTCCCAAGTCGACGACCACCTCCACGTCGACCTCCTCCAGGTCGACGTCCCCTCTGGTCGACCAGCTCCACGTCGACCAGTACTCCTGGTCGACCTGCTCCTCGTCGACCAGCACAGTCTTCGGCCGACCACCCACGTCGGCCACCCGAAGCTGGCGTCACGAAGTTGACGCCCTGCTACTCGACGCCCGACTGCTCGGCGTCCTGCGTCAAGGTCGACGTCGGTCCCTCCTTCGTCGACCACCAGGTCCAGTCGACCACCCGCAGGTCGACCAGCGGTCCGTTAGCCGACCGCTGAAGTCGGCTTCGACGTCCTCCGCAGGTCGACTCCCAAGTCGACCTCCCCGAAGTCGGCGCCACCCTGAAGTTGGCGCCCGTGCAG